GAGACGGACTGTATGGGTTTGATTTTATTTACTTCTCACACCCTCTGTTCCGAGCACATCCTATTTTTATACCATTTTAGAGTCTGACTTGGAGACTTGAAGGGGTTCAGTGACCTGCTCGGAACCCAGGTAGTACAGGGCTGCCCACAGGATCCCGATCCACCTGACTGCTACGTCCAAGCTCAACTCCGACTCAGAGCGGGGTTCTCCGAGCTCTGCACCTTGTGTTCCATTGGCAGGAACAGGGGGACTGTTCCTCGCGGCTGTTCACTGCGTCCCGGCGATCGCGACGAAGAACAGCCCAGGAGCCACCACAAGCGACACCAAGCTCCCGCCACCAGAAAGCACGGCGGGGAAGGAAAGCTCACTCTAAATATTAGCCCCTCCAAAGGCATGCTACCTTGACTGATACGGTTTTTTTTCAATGTAAGAATTTTTCTCAAAATCCCTCAAAAAAACCTATGCGCAACGCAATTCACACACTTGAACCACTTGATGTTTAAACAAAGGTTGCTTTCGACGCAGAGGATGCCCCATCTATTGTGTGGATTCTTGGCTTGGCTCCTGTAGAGCCTCCCGGCCAAACCGCCCGGCCGCTGGAGAGCACGCCACGGCGGGGCTGAGCCCGGGGGTGCGTGAGCCCCCCGCGAGCATGTGAGCACCGCACTGACCTTCCCGGGTTCGGGGGGCGGCGCCACCACTCCCCAGCGCAGGTTGCTCGGGGACTGTCCCTCCAGCCCGCGCTGGGGCCCTGAGCACCTCAGGTGCGCTGCCTCGGAGCTCTCAGCAGCTCCCGGCCCAGCTCGGACACCGAGACTCGTGTTTAGGATAAGTCCAGGCCTTTGGGCTATAAAATAACGCCCCTTGGCAACACGCAGCCCGTCTGAGAACACGGCAAACCCGAGCAAACGCTCTGAGTGCGCATGCCAAGGAGGCGGAGTACATCCAGGTAGAAACGAGGAAAACTGGGAGTTGAGACCAATTTTTCTGAAAGACGAGAGCAAACGGGCAGGCTTCTTCAGCTCGGACTGTCCTAGCAGCGCTCTGTCCTACGCTGCAGGGAGTTAGTTTCCCACGCAAACACCTTGAACTCCAGAACCACCTGTAAGGCTTTTTCAAGGATTTTCGCTCACCCCCCACCACACACACACACACACACACACCCGCCCTTACCATCTGGAAGCTTCGGGTGTAGTGGAATTCACACTGCATCATGTCGAAGAAGATGGGGATGGTGGCCTTGCGCAGCTCCGTCTCGGGAATTAGTGTCATCTCCAGCATTGGGCCGACCATTTCCGGAATAAACTTGATCTTGTGCTGACCTTGAATAAAGAAAGGGATTATTCAGAAATTTTTTATTGATTTTGAGAGAGAGAAACATTGATACGAGAATGCAATATTGATGGGCTGCCTCCTGCACGCCCCCTCACCAAGGATCAAGCCCACCACCCCGGGCACGGGCCCTGACTAGGAATTGAACAACCTCTCGGTGCACAGGATGACTCCCAACCAACTGAGCCACACCGGCCAGGGTCACAGATTTTTCAAAAAAGGATTCTAGAATGGGCTTCAATGGACAAAAACACACAGATCATCGCGACATTGAATGCCAGGGTCGCGGGTATAAACAGGCATCCGTTTCCCATCTGTGGGCATTGCGAACGTGTCCAGCCTTGAGTCTGAGGAGTGGATGGTCTAACTGTTGTAAACGAAGCTATTAAAACATCCATCTGGTAGCAAGTCTGTAGTCAGGACTTCTGTGCCCAGAGATAAACACCGTTTCACGAGTAGACAACTTGATCACAGAGCTCAAGGACACGAGCAGTGAACAGGCACCCAGCCTTGGAAAACTCATTTCTAAAAAAAGGGGGCAGTTGACTTTATTTAGGGTGATATAATTAAATTCAGAGGCTGGTCTTATTGAGAAAGTGGGCTTCTAAAAGCCCTACCTTCTTGTCTTTAGACTAAAAAATCTGGAGTTATTTTCATTCTATCCCCTTATAATTTATATCGTTTCATTTCCAACATGTGCTAGAACCCACAAGAATTAAATGCTTGAATGAATTACTTGTGACATTTTTGTGCTATTAACACCAGCAATTTATCCAGTTAATCAACCTTAATAATATTTCGACACAATCAGGAAATAGAATGCATAGTCTAAAGAATTTAGTTTCCTTTACAACTCAAGCTATTTAACACAGATTTCTGTAAAGAGAACCATTCAACAAATCTGGCTCTTATAAATAACTACACTTAACAAAACATAGTCCTATTAGTCTAAATGCATCTATATCTAAAATTTGTATGAGGTGGACACAGTCACAGAATGTAACCTTGACTAAGGAATCTGAACATAATGAAAATCTGATATTCAGCTTTTACTAAATAATTAATATTTTGACTAAGGCCACACTGACGTGATTGTCATCACCTCCCCAAATGCTCAGCGCTTTTGAAAGGCTTGTAACAGCTGCAAAGCATTCTCTTAAAAATGCGATTATACCCAGTCTCTCCGGTGACACTTTTCCTGTGTTATGCCTACAAATGTCAGAGCCAATGTTTCAGAAAGCAGTTGACGGTGACAGCGAGCGGTTCATCAACCACAACGCGAGTGTCACAGAGAGCTGTGCCGGTCACAGCAGCTTCTACCGCTCCCCGCTGGGAGGGACGCAGGTGGTAACAAGTGGTTGTCGATCAGGGGTAGTAGGTGACAGAGCCGGGAGCCTAACCTTCGACTACAAACCTTCCGGTGAACAGCGGAAAGCCTGGCCTGGGGCCAGCGCTGAGCTCTGTGGTCAGTGCTATCCCTGGGGTTTAACCTTCCAGAAGGAAGGGTCTCCCAGGGGAGCGAGGGCCGGGCTATGCCCTCCAGGGTTCACCTTTTTTTGCTGTTTTTGGGCAACTGCATTATGGGTTTCCCCTGAAGCGTATCTTGCTCAAATTTAACGAGGAACGCAGATTTGAAATCAGTGAGGATCAAGGTGACCCCTGCAGTGTCGACTTTGAGAAAAAATAAAAAAGGGTACATTTGCCTTTTCTTTCGAGACAAAAGAACCAGCTAATGATCAGATCACAGAGAGAATATTTCAGCTCCTGGCAGCTCGCCGGTCTCCTGGTTACCGCTCCCAAATTCTCACACCCACCCAGAGGCTCGCTTCCAGGTGCAGAACGTGGACTTTGGCCTCCCTCGGGTCCCTTTCAGGGAAGCCGGGCTCTCCCCCCTCAGCAGCCTCTCGGGAGGGACACTGGCTGATCTCCTTACAGCCACGAGTGGTCAGAAACCCGGACGGTAAACCGAGTCTATCCCAGGAAATCTCTGCTCACACAGGGCAGGCAGAGCAAGTAACTCCACCGCCTCGTCCAGCTGCTAGGCCTCCTTGCATGTGGGCTTAGAGAGAAGCACACGACTTGTCCAGTCCCCAGAAACACCCCCAGAGGGAATCCCTGCCTGAGAAAGAAACCTGACTGAGTCGGGGTGAAGATCTTGCTGGGGGCACACTGGTTCTGGCCGCGCTGGGTCCACAGCGAGCTGCCCTATGTAGCAACACGGACGTCCAGGGGACCGAGGCCACGCTGCCTCTCGGAGCACCTCTGACGAAACTGAAGAGCCAGGTACACAGCCCGCTTACCCCTCCCTTTTGTTTTGGAGAGAGGCTGCTTTTGATGTCCCCCTTCTGACTCAAAATCTGAGAGGAAGAGAACCGTGCAGTCTGTCCTGTGGGAAACCTGCATTCGATCCAGCAAAATAGGCCTGGATCCTCGCTGTGAGGCTGCACGGCTGACCAGACCGTCCTCTCCACCTGCCCACGGAACGCTGGACAGGCCCCAGGGAGACGCGGCTCGAGGCCGGATCGCATGACAGGTGACTAAGTGGTAAGATGATAAATACAGCTAACTTCTGTTTTAATTTTCTTGGCAGAGCTGGTCAGTTCACATGGCCAATATCTTCCCCAAACGAATAAGCCCATTTAAAAAAAGCCGCGTAGAAAACAGGTTGAGCGCACCTGGGGACTGACTTGCTGCCGAATTTCTCGCCTCAGCAATGACACCTGCAGGCAGGTTCCAACACCTGAGATTTGCTTCCGCAAAGGGCCAGCCTGCCTGAGGTGACCCCAGGAGCCATTCTCGGCCCTTCTGGGGGCTGCTTCAGGCAGATCCTGTGGGGAGCTGATACTTTAATTTTTTTAAACTTTCTAATTCTGCATGATCCAGTCACGGCAGGTTGTATGCTTCTAGGAACTTGTCCATTTCTTCTAGGTTCCCGAATTTGGTGACATGTAACTGTTCATAGTCGTCTCTTATAAGAGACTTTTTTTATTTTTGTGGTATCAGTTGTAATGTCTCTTTTTTTCATTTCTGATTTTATTTATTTAAGTCTTTTCTCCTTTTTTCTTAGTAAATTAGCTAAAGGTTTGTCAATTTTATTTATCTTTTTTAAAAAACCAACTCTTAGTTTTTGTTGACTTTTTCCATTTCATTTGTTGCTGCTCTAATCTTAAATATTTTTTCCTTCCTTCTGCTACCTTTAGGCCTAGTTTGTTCTTCTTTCTCTAGCTCCTTGAGGTGTAAAGTTAGGTCATTTTTGAGATCTTTCTTCCCTAGTAAAGCCCACAGGACAGACGGAAAGGATCTAACAGACATAAAATCTAACGCAACAGAACCCTCATTTTTTTTTGGTCAAGTACATGCAGAACATTCTTCAGGAAAGATCAAACATTAAGTCATAAAACAATTCTTCACAAATCTCAGGAGATTAAAACCCTTCCAAGCATCATTTCTGACTATAATGAAATAAAATTAGAAATCAGTAACAGATGAAAAATTTAAAAATTCACAAATTAAAAACATACCCTCGAGCAGCCAACAGATCAAAGAAAAAATCGAAAAGGAAACTAGAAAATATTGTGAGACAAAAGAAAATGAAAATACAACATCCCAAACTTAAGTGATGCAGCAAAAGCTGTACCAAGAGGTAAGTGTATAGTAATAAACACCTACATTAATTCCTGATCTTGAACACAGTATCCCTATTGCTTTAATTGCACAAGCACGTAGTGCTACCACCACCGGGTGGCAGTGAACCTAAAAACAGGGTCCGTTTTGAGTCAGTGAATAGACCCGTTTGAAAGCTGAGTATATGAAACTGAATCCAATGTGACAGCATATGTAACATTAGGATGAGCTACACGGTTTCATGCACGAGAAGCTGAGGGAATGTTAGTGATGCCCAGGGCTGAGCTGTGGTCACCCAACACAAACAGTGCTCTCCAGACTTTTCTGTTTGCTCCACCCATCAGGTGTTCCTCCTTCACTTGGAAAGTCTCCTATCTCTTACTTACTGAAAACAATTATTGCAAAGAATAGCAACTTTCCTCCAAGGTACAGAAGCAATTAGATGCCCCAACGCTGACGCAGAGGGCCCACGTCATCACCCATCACAGATTTCCCCAAAATGGCCTGAAGCCGCGGGCACTCACCGAGGTTATACCACATGTCTCTGATTTCGAAGCCAATCTGTCGCCTCATGTCTCCATACCTGCAGACCAGGAACAGGAAAAACGCTGCGTCACTCTACAGAGCACTGGAAAGTCAGACCTGGGTTATTCGTAAGAGCCATTCCAGTTGTCTTCAGTCCCAGAGACAAATAAACAGTGTCAGGGCTTCATTTCCTTTGCCACCAAAGGGAGGGGGAGGAGGCATCGGCTGGGGACTCACTTACCCATCTCGGCACATTACGTAACGCCCTCCCCCGTGGGACCACGGGGGACGTGGGGGAGAGTCGCGAGAGGGTGTTACTTTCTTCAGTCTCTAAGGCAAGCGCAAGAGAGCCCGGCTCCTTGGCCTAAGGGGGAGTTTGTTTTCCTGCTGCTGTTGGCAGCAGACACTGCGCCCACGAGTGGCATCCCACACCCACTCACCACGAGCCCTTTCCCCTGCGAACACTGAGCCCTGGAGCCTACGCGGGAACGGGGAGCCTCCTCCACATACCTCCCACTCGCCTGCATCAGCTCTGCGTAAGGAAGGGCTCAGCACCTGACACTGTCAAGGAATATTCCCCCAAGTTTTTTGTTTACCAGGAAAACGAATGCTAATTTGCCTCCCAGTGGGTCAGGGGAGGGGGTGTGTTTCCAGAGTAAACAGAATTTGATGCTTGGGAAGATAAACCTTTATTAGTTTGTGAGCAATTTACCTTTTCCCTGTATTGCCCAAGGAAAAGGCTGATTCTATTAAACATAATAACTGGCGAGATTACCACGCAGTGTTACAGTTTCGCAGCTGTGTCCCGGAGTCTGCTCCGTTCTTCCTCAGCGGACGGGACAGGGTCGTCTGAGTACAGGCCACGGAGCCGTGGCTCTGAAGGCTCAGATTCTGGTGGGTGAGTCAAAACCACGGCCCACAGCCACCAGATGATGAAGGCCCCGGTGCCCTACACGCCTGTCGGCCAATTACAGCAGGAGAGGGCTACTGATTTCAGGGCCATTTCAACAGGGCAGGAAGACACCGGCCTGGCAGCTCCTTCAGACCGAGACACTGAACAGGGACCCTGAGCCCCTCCCTAGAGGGACAGGCTGGTCCCTGAGGCAGGCATTAGCTCCCTGCCCAGCCGACAGCCAGGGGAGCAGAAGGCTGATGCAGGTGAATCGGTGGGTGAGAGAGGAGGGATCCCAGCCAGGGAAGGCATCCGTCACCAACGCCACAGTGGGGAGAGGCTTGTCCACTGCTGGTGGGAAGTCACCAGCAGTGAAGTGACTGAATCCAAGTTTTTGGTGACAGGAGAGCACCCGTCAATGTCTACATGGCACCCCAAATCACCCAAGTGTGTATGATCTGAGGGGTGGTAAGCTGTGCATCCTTGGAGGCCTGTGGAGCCATTGTTCCAATTCCCATTTTGCTCCCGCACAAATGACAAAGGGGCCCAAGCCGCTGTCACCTGCAGGGATGCCCTCTGGAATCTCTAACCTCAGCAAGCAGCACGGGAGATACTGCAGAGGTGTCGTGAGGTGTCACACAGGGACCGATGACGGGGCAGTGAGAGAGCAATTTGAGAACTATCTCAAGAGGACTTAGGAAAGGGGCCCTCAGAAGTGAAAAATTATTGCAGCTCTCAGAGAGAGGCCAGACCCTCAGGGCACCCACGGGTTGGAAAGAAGCCTACATAAGGATTATTTTCTTTACAGTGGACCCGGAGCCAGGCAGGGGTCTCAGCCTCCTGGAGGCTTCTGCCGGGTTTCCTGGGATGATCCTGGGGCCATTCACGCCCTCAGATCTCCCACCTGGAGGACAGGGTGGCCCTTGCAGAGAAGGAGCCGGGACAGCAGCCCCAGCTCCACAGTGAGCTCTTCTAGCCCACCGGTGCCAAGAGCCCTCATCAGGAGCTCCCGGTTTTGATGCCGCGATGGCGAATTAAGCAGTGATGTAGCCCACGCGTGGAATGGCCACACGTAGAATAACACGGAACAGCGCACAGAAAAAGCAATTATCTCCCCAAAGTCCCCTTCCGCGTGGCGCTAATCGTCTCAAATCACACTGGCTTTGAACCTGCCAGAATGAATCCTGCAACCTTACATCTTGATTCATGGGTTGGAAGAGGCAACACCCGAGTCGGGCTGGAAACCACCCTCTCATTACGCCGCGATTACATCTCAATTTGCACAGAGGTGGCTCAGAGAATTCCTGAAAATTACGCTAATGGAGCTCGAGGCGCCTGCGGCGCTGCGGGGGCTGGAGGCTGACTTACTTGTTCAGGATTTTGGCTCTCTTGGCGCTTGAGAAGTTCTCCAGCTGCAAGGATTCCTGAGTGAGGAAGGCGACCGCCAGGTGGAAGTAGTTGTTCCAGAGCTGAAAGGCAACGGGGGCGGGGGAGGCGGGGTGCTGAGCGGCCAACGGGGGTCTCGGCAACGCCGGGCGTCTCGCTTGCCCTGCACCCTTCTGAAATGTTGAAAAACCACACCCACTCTATACAAATTGCCACCCAGCACCCAGGGTGTGGCTCGGGGCTCGGCGTGGGCTCTGTTGTCCAGGGCACGTGCTCAGGTCCCAGCTCTGCCACTGACTTAGGTAAATGTCTCGTCTCTCTGTGCCTTGATTTCCTCACAGGTAAAATGGGAATTTCAACAACACCTACCTTGTAGGGTGGCTGGAAGCTCAAAGGGGACGTAATAAACGTTAGCTCTAATCAGGAGACCTGACTTTACACAGATTTCTGTAATTTATGACTTTTTCTCATACTAAATGTATATAAACACTAGACAAGGAGAACAGATGTAAAAAATAAAATACTTTATATTTAAAAGAAGTACACACTGCACATGGCTTAAAAGACTGTTTAGTATGAAACGATTGTCTCCATACAGCTCCATACGTGGACCTCTGTGTACCCAGAAGCAGTCACAGACTTGTCATTACAAAAGTGTTCCCCGACAAGAAACGCCACGGGTAGATGCCTGAAGTCAGGGGACTAACACCCCTGATCCTGTCAACGTCTGAGGCGGGGCCAGGATAATTTAAGTGAGGGAAGAATTTCTGGATCACTCGGGGACACTCCTGCTGGCTCACGGGTGCTCAATAACTAGCACTGTCATCCCCTCGCTGCCAGGACTCACTCTGATTTTTGCTGCATGAATATTTTATGGTTTGACTACATCTGTGTATTAGGACATGTGAAAACAGCATTAAGCAGGGAAAGTAATAAAATATTAAAAATTGTGAAAACATTTCTAGATAGGTAGTGCTGGATATATTTTATATTTATATTCCATCACGCTAAGAAAATAGACATTTAAAATTTTAAAAATATGAAAGAAATAAAGGCATGCTTAGCTTAGGACTGAACCTAGTAACCTAAGTCTGGCATTAGCTCTAACTGCTCGGGGGGCAATGCCAAAGGGAAGTACGCGGTGTCTAACTTCTGTCGTCTGAATCGTATCTCTGACCTGGACCACCCACCGGGGGTGCAGAAGTTCTCAGGTTTCCTCCTCAACGAAGGATCCTTCCCAGGAAACTAACACACCATTTGCATCTGGATGCTTTTTTAAAAATTTGCAAATTTTAATAAATGACACAAAGTAATAACAATGACAAAATCATTATTAGCAGGAACACGTCCAGAGTACAGTGGATGGAGAGCCAGGAATACCTGAGGCGTGGGGCTGAAGTTGGTGGACAGCTGACCCGAGCCCTGTGGGCAGGACAAAGCCCAGAGAGACTACACCAGGGGAAACTGAGTTCTAACAGCAAGCCGAGCCCAGGGATGCAAACCCACTTCCCCTCCTCTGCCGACCCACCTGAGGAGGGTCTGAGACAATCCCGGCAGCCACTGAGCCCCAGTGGCCGCACGGCTGAGTCCCTACTGTCACTGATTCAATGCTTCCTCTCTGAAACAGCTCCATCACCTTCTCTGTTAAATTGAACAAATACCCCGAAGGCACAATTTTCAATCTTCCGGTTCCAATAGTACAAATTGTCAACGCCATTTCCACACGTTGGAGGGCAGACCAATTAAGTGTGCGGATTAGAAAGAAAAGATATTGGCTCAGACGAGCAATTTGTTGTACCATGATTTCCCAGCCAAGGTCACGTCGGCCTCTCTTCTCTTACCTGTAGCTCAAAGTTGGCTTGATCGAGGAATTTTTTGTTCAGCATATCTGCATACTGATTAATCGCTCGCAGGAAGACTCTGAAAGATCAGAGAAAATTACATAATTACTCACTCAAGCTCTGGCACCTCTGAAGGTCTGGCATTTCAATGAGATCCAACCCGAGACGGTCTGGAGAGTGAACTCTCCAGGTCCCGGAACAGTGGCGAGATCTGCCCACGAACAACCCACAGAATTGCAGGCAGATGCTCTCCAAATTAAACACGGAAATTAGCGCGTGCAAAGTAAAAGAAACAGACAAAAATAACCACATCTGAAAGCAACATAGGAAAAGTATCACTAGAAAAAACACCCAATTTAAAAAAGGCGCAAATTAACGGCTTTTCTCCGGTCGCAGCGTCTTAACGTTATGGTATTAAATCGGGGTCTCTGTTCAGCTGGCTCCTTCAGGGCACACATCTGACCGCGCTGTGACCCACGGGCGTGGCGGTCTGTCCCATTTCAGTGAAATCTGTCCTGTCCTCTGAATGCTAATCTTGGTCACTGTTTACTTGTTTAAATAAAAAATTTTAAAAACCTTTGATAGCTATGAAAGGGATTTAACAAGAGCTTTAGCAGGGACGCTGGCTGATTCCTCGATAATATACAATTTTAAGCAGCCAGAGCAAAATATCACATATTCCCACGCCTTGCCTTTTGCTTTCGCCCATGAAATATGCCATCTGAACTCTCATAAAGGGCTCCGGAGTACCAAGCCCTTCGCAAGCGAGCTCGTTTAGATAGGTTTTATTACTCTCGGAAGGGTTGTGACAGAAAAGCCTAGTCCAGTGCCCCCCCCCCCCCCCCC